AGGAGTAGGGTGGTTTCTGATCACCGTAGGTATCGCGCGAAGGTCGCGGCATCATCAACGAACGACAAGATCATTTCCTTCTTGAACAAACGTTCTTACGTGTGAACACTCGACACTTTGCACGAGGTTCGCCGATACTCGCGCGCCATCAGCATCCTCCGTATTCTCGCGAATCGGCAGGAACACGAGGTAGGCTGCTCTTGGTAGCACGAGCGAAGACGGAAATTTCCATCGGACCCAACCACGGAGACCCGCGGCCGGCCGAGGCGAGCGAGGTTCGACCCTGATGTACCCCACGCTGTGTCACGGTGTTGTATCACAATCTCGAGGATTTCCAACCAACACTGCTGTTATCGGGCTAGGCTCGTTCGCTGATCCAGACCGAGCTCTCGTAAGTACTCGGTAATCGGTTACTCGAATCCGTATTCGGTTCGCGCCGAGCACGCCCAAACACACCGAATACCCACGATCGCGTCTCCGCGGATACTGCGGCCGATCCATACCCACACCCCCGCAACGGGCTTCCCCTACCTACGAACCCATGGCTCCACCATGTCCCGGATTGGAGCCCACTGTGTCTCACCTTCTCGACCGGTCTCGCTCGCGCTACCAGCAACCACCTCCATCCAATGATACGATAGCTCTCCCACCTCGACGATTCCGGATGGACAGCCGACGGTGTGTGGACGCGAAAAGAGCGTCCTCCATCCGTTCTGAACGGATTCCGAGAGGCGGAGCTCTTGCGCGAACATTAAAGTTACCATTTAAAGTCACCTCCCTCGAACAAACAGGAACAGCCGAGTCTCGACCAATCCGATCGAATACCGTGGCTGTCCTCGCCCACAGCTGGGTAGCGGTGTGTCCCATCACCCCCGTGCCCGGACACCACCGCACCAGTCGTCTGCCTACCCTGGACGCCCTGCAGCCCCTGCAGGACTCCCGAACGCCACCGGGTACATTAGCCAGCCAGCAGAATGAAAAGAACGAGCCGAACGAGGAGAGAGAGAAAGAGAGAGAAAGAGAGCTCTGTCTTTCGCGTGGATCGATTCATGGCACGGCGTGGCGTGGCGTTTCGTTCCAAGGATTGAAACCAGTGTAATTTTATCGAGTATAATCCTCTCGAACAGCGAAATGTTTGAAAATCTGGCCGACAGATCTGTCTGGAGCTTTCTTTGGGAATTCTGGAGTAAATATATTTTTAACTTAATGTTCTCAAACGAAATGTATGAGGTATCTAAATGCGAAGAAAAATAGTGAAATATAAAATTAAGAATATTCTCCAGATATAATAATAAATAAATCATATTTGTTTTATTTCTCAATGATTCAGAATTTGACTGAATTTTACGGAAGAGAAATCAATAAAGATCTCTATGCTTATTTATAACTTCTTAAAACGACGACATAATTTTTATATCATTGCGCAAATAAAAGTAGCTGCAATTTTCAATAAAAAAGCAGCATTGCAACTGTTGTAAAATTCTTTGATAAATTGATCTGGTTCTTAGTTCCTCTATCACTGGATCTAAGAGTATAAACCATAATATTAAAGAATCTTACAACAATTACAATTGCAAAGCATTTTTTATTGAATGCAGCCAATATATGTATATGTATAATATGTCAGAATAAAAATGCGACATTGTCGTTTGAAATTATGTAAACAATTATAACTCGCAAAGATTCGAACAAGTTGAATTGAACAAAAATTAATTTCCGATGGATACAGCTACGTGCAGAGAAAAACTTTGTTGCTCGTGAATAAACGTATTATTATTAATTATTTTTGCGTGATTCCAATATCTAAAATTGTAGATACATCTGTCATTTTTATCTTTGTCTCGCTCAATCACGTAAGCGCGACTATAAATCTCTAATGTGCTGACCGCGCGCGTTTCTGAGTACCATTAGCAAAATTGTACTGTTCATCGAGAGAGAGTTCGGGATCGATGTTTTCCTAGTTAGCAAGATCTAACCCAATCTTTCTCGATCGGGGACCGTGCCAACTTTACAGGTGAAGAAGATGGGGAGGGAGAAGATAAACCAATCGGATCGAAGCGCTTTTCTCGCTCGAAGTTTGCAGGCGAGAGGCGTGTCGCTACGCCTCGTGCCTCGCCGACAAAATGGCAATTCTTGTTGCGCGTAATGTACACTAATACTTTAACTGGATTCTTCGGAAGAAACGTATCACGTCTGCATAGCCATGATTCTTGATTATTTCCATTAAACAAATATATACTATAAGCATTTCCAAGTAATGCGTGATATAATAGATAATTAAGATGTGTCGTGCCATGGCACGCCAAGATAAGTTTTTTATTAACTTTAATTCTTTTGAAATAATAACTGTTTCATAATACTCGTCTTTCAAAGTTAAATAATAAATATCTTTAATAATAAGTTGGTAATAAATATACATGTGTTATTTTACATCAAACGAAAGATATTTTTTGATCTTTCTTTTATGAATTTATAGCAAACATAAATTAATTAGGACTTTTTTTATAAATAAAATTTTGAGAGAATTTTAATTTGATGATTTAATTACCAAAATAATAAATAGCGTCGAAAATCTAAAAATTGAGCTATAATGTAGGTAAATGATAATCGCCCTTTTGACCCTTCTATAATAACTATAAGAGGAAAAATCGACTTATTTATATCTCAAACGGTTGAGCTTTCAACCTATATTTACTAAAGTTTTTTTCTCATTATGATGTGTACACATACTATCTATCATATAATAAATGCTGAATGGTTTATTTTATACATTCTATATAAAAGACAGTAAACGATACTTGAAGAAAAAGTGATAATAATTGATCATAATTCCAGCGATATTTCTCTTTAGCAGAGATTTATACTCTTATATACAATTATTTTTAAACAGAGTTCCGAATGCAATTTTTTTCAATTTTTTAGTATAAGACATAGTTTTTAGTAAAACTCTTTTTTTATTTTTATATAAGGAACTGTAAAATTATGTATATGATAAATGCTAGTGAAACTGTAATTTGTCTTTTCATTAGGTACATTGATAGAATGTGGTACTAACATCACGGATATCTAAAAGTGCAGGGATCACTGAAGTCAGCATGCGACATTCTATAATATATTAATATTTAAAAAATAATGACAGTTTTATAAGTAGCACTTTTTATAGTTCTCATATAATTTCTTATAAAAATAAAAAAAAATTCCGCATATTTTATAACTATAAAAAACTAAAATTGAAAATATGGCGTATTAATTTCGCGAATCTAGCATGATATAATACTATTTCCTTCTAAAGTACAAGAAGGAGATAAATATTTCTATTTTTAATTACTGATTCCGTTAGTACTACTCGGATTCGATTTTACTCCGCACTTGATTTCAACAAGTCATTTTGAGAATATGATTTTATTAGAAGCATCAGGCTTTCTCGGATGCCAACAACAATTTTTGATGGAGACAAATATAGCGGAAAGTTTAAATTGAAATTTGTCCGGATTTTAGTAACACACCCTGTATATAATTTAAAAACAAAATTTCAACAATTTTAGTACACTTTAAGTGCTGGGTGATAAAAGAAACATTCAGCATTTATATATGGTAAGACTCAGTTTTGTTACTAAATTGTTTATATTTATAAGATTGTTTATATTTTAGAGTTGAGTTTTCGATCTATACATATACATATTCGCTATAAGATTTTTTTACTCAGTAATATGGTGTGTACTGTTGAATAATTTTTTAATGTTGAATGATTCTTTTTAACATTTTATATAATAATTATAGAAATTTAATACTAATACTGATGACCAATTAATCATTTATTTTCAGTATTAAAAGTATTGTTAACAGTACTTTTAATACTAAAATTAAGTGATTAATTATGATCAGTGCTAAATTATTATTATTATTATTATTATTATTAGTATTAAAATTATTAATATTAAATTATTAATATTAAATTATTTTTATAAGAAATATATACTATATTTAACTTTTTTTTGTACATGTTTATAATTTTATACATATTTCTAAGCGTTTCATTATGTTTCTTCACACAAATTGAAAATAATTCCCTCGAAATAAAATGTACAATAACTATGCAAAATATAGTGATGAGTTAAAAATTTTTTACAGCGCTTGTAAGCATTATTTGTCCTTATTTAATATTGATAGATAACAAGGATGAACTGATGCTTACAGCATATATAAAAACGGAATGCACTCATAATATCACCAATCGAATCAAAAATACATATATAATACATATAATTTGAACTGAATAATTGTTTATCAAAAAGATCAACTTAATCTAATTTAATTTTTGTAAATTTATTTTTCGATTTCTTTATTTATTATTGTCTTCTTTTTTATATATCAAAAATTTACAAATGATATGATAGTTGAAACATTTAAATCCTTTCGAACTTTAATAGTAATAGTACAAACATGTTCGCATAATTCCATCCATACAATCATCTTGTTGAAAAAATTTAGCTTTATAAAATATCTTAATAAAAAAAACTTTATGTTCACAAGAGTTGAAATTTTATCATTTTTTTTTTTTTACAAAACTATTTTAATACAAAGTATACAAATATTTTGGTATAAATAAATACCTGTTCGAAATAAATTGATGACACCTGTTGGAGACAAATTTAATTTTCACAATTACTACTTTAACATATAGTGATAAAAAGATTGTATTTAGGGATTACCGACAGAATTTAAAATTTTGTCAGACTGAGAATTATATTTATTTCCGTTTGAGGACGCTAAGGTCGCGTTTAGTTCACAATAGTAAATATAAAAACGTAATAGAAATGTTTTATAATATTAAATTATATTACGTAAGAGATATTTTAAACTTTTTAACCCGAATACTTTTATTCAATTAGGAGCACCCTTCACGAAAGAAATAATGAAAGAATAACAAAATTATGCTTTTGAGGTATTCCACTTAACAGTGCAATTTGAACATTTGGTTGAATCAAAATTCAGAGATATACTTTGTGGAAAATCTACAATGCGTATATTTAACAAAGAGTTAATGTACATTATACAGCATATCAGATGTATCATCATGCATCAAGTCGCGATGGCTTGAGACCTAAGCGATCAATTATATACTCTGGCATACAATAAGTAGGATTTATTGGTTTTAACGAGAAGTTCTTGTCTAGCAATGACAATGCAGTGAGGCCGAACAAAGTATGAAAAGGGTCAACCATATCACCGGGTCGATCACTGAAACCGCCAGTTTCAATATCTTGACAAATTAAAATGTAATCCATCTGTAATGAAAAACATAAAGAAAGAAATTATAGTAGAGTGATAATATGTAGTAATATTTATAATTATTTTATTTAAATCGTTGGCACTTAGGAATATACATACACACGCATGCACGCACGCACGCACGCACGCACACACATGAATACACATACAATCGCGCGCGCGCATACACACAAGGCAATGAAATAAACAATTATAAGAGAGACAGAAATGATCAACAAATAGAATATTTAAGAGATATCTTATAAAATGTTATTAAAAAATAATTACCAAGCCTTTTTTATCTATCCAATGAAGACGACCTAAAATTGTTAACGTTGACAGCACCCACCAAGAATAACATACATCTGGTAATTTTTCGGGCCTGCCATTTAAACCACCGGAAGGTAGTTGTCTTTCACACAACCACCATCCTAAACGATCAGCATCTATCAGATGCAGATGTCCTAAAAAATTACCTTTGATAAGTAAAATAGTACATTCTGTATATATACAGTAGTTATTCTGTATATTCTTGTATATACCTGTGATCGAAAGTAATCCAACGCAACAATAAATTAAACCCGCATGACTTTCAGATCCTGGCTTTGAACCGAATCCTCCATCAAAATTCATACATTTCAATACAAATTGTACTGCATTCTCGACATCTATTGCATCTAAGCGATTCTGAAACAAGTTAACATGATATAAGGAATTTAAACTTTTTTTATAAGTACTTTCCTATTTGTAAACAAAAATTTTCAAGAATTTACTTTGTCTAAGATGTGTTATGGTTTTATGGATCTGACAAGTATCTCATCTTTAAATCCACTAAAGCTAAAGAATCTTCATGAAAGCTGAGTTTCCAGGATATCCATTCCATTTCACACAATACATTTTGATTTAAAAAATTAAGTGTTACTATTTTAAAACACTTTGATTTTGTGGATACTTAAATGTAATTATACTCTATGATATTTACCAAGAGTGACAGAGTAGCAACGGCACAGAAAGAAAATCTGACATCTACTTCACCCCATTGATCACCCACAAAACTTCCATCTGATTGTTGTCTTTCTTTGACATAACTAACGACTTTATCGACATTTATTATATCCAAGGCATCATATATACATAATATTTGAACTGCACTAAGTGTATAAAGTAAATGTGGATCATGTTGTATGCTGGCACTGATGCCACCACTGTCACTTTGACATTGTCTAATAAATTCTAGCACTTCTTCCTTATTAGTTTGTTCTAACTTTCCCATTAAATCTAGAGCGGTAAGACCCCAGTACATGCCAGACATCCTCATGTGTTCAGTCTGAGAATAATTCTAAAAAATATGAGTCAATATAGAGAAGTGAAATATTAAAAAAATATATGTTATAATAAATATATATATATATGTATATGTTAAAATATACTTTGTCATAATCAATTACTATATAAATAAGGAAGAAATATTCTTACATATTCATCTTTGTTGGTCCCATATGAAATGAGATAGTTTGCATGTTTCTCTATTAATAATTTTGGAATGTTGTTCGGTAGTTCAATGTCATGTCTCAATGTTGTCTGTAAAAAAAATGAAAAAGATAAAATATAAATAATTACTATTATCCAACTTATCTAACATGTATGTTTTAATACTTGGCCTTTACACAGATATAAATAATCACAATACATAAACAAATAATCTCAAGATGTTATTACACATTATTAAGTTACATAAAATTTTGATTAAAAAAAATGAGTATTACATTTCCTAAAAATAAAAACTATTTCGTACGTGTTAACTTTTTTTTTTACACTGAACAGGTTAAAACTTACCATTTTACAATCGTTACAATCGTATAATACGATTATTAAATTACGTTAATAAAGTTGATTTTGTTAAGATTTCGTCTTCGAATCTACAACTGCATCCTAAATTTAATTTGACAAGTTTAAAGTCTGATGATCAGAAAAGCGCATACTTCATTAACCAAAAAAGATCCACTAGAGTTTACTAAATGCACTTGCTTTTGCGCACACTCCTTCGGGATTTAAAGTCACTAGACTATTATTGGACGCATGATAGAGCGGTATAAGTGAAGTACATATAGTATGGACACTGAGCGTCGACACCTTTGATGTAGACTTGATGCTCTGAACGCTATGCTCCAAACGCTACGCTCCGATTGATCCACTAATGTTACGAATGCTGCAATCGTTACGCTAGTGGATCGATTGTAGCATTTGTAGCGCCGTATGAATTTAAATTTTCATTGCATGAGATGCTAATCTTCTATACAAGGGCAAATAAAAATCCGATTCTTAGCTCTCAACCATGACACTCATTTGATCTGATTTCCTTATCACGAATCTCACACAATATTGTAGGCAAAAAGGTTAATTATATTTTATGGGAAGGAGATCTAACTAGCCTAACCTAATCTGCAATTTCAACTTGCTAAACGCAGCCACATTCTTAATAAATCGATTCCTACTTTGAAACGAGATAAAAATTGAAACGAGACAAAAGTGAGCGAATTTACTAGAATACTGATAATTTCATTGGTCAACACCTAGTAAATTTGCTCACTTTTGTAATTTTCTTGTTGAAAATACAGAGAATCGATTCTGTATTTTGAAATCGATCCCTAGAATCGATTGGAAATCGATTGGAAATCGACGCATGCGCACTAAAAATTGAGGATCATATAAAAAGTTCAGTGTCCATACTGTATGTACTTATATTGTACTATACTATTGGATCATCTAAAAAGTATCCGCGGTACTTTGTCACTAGATATATGACCATCAACACACATCTAGTGACAAAAAACCGCGGATACTTTTTAGATGACCCAATATAAATACCGATCTGTTTCGCGTCATAAAGTTGGTATTGAATCTTTTCCAAGAAAAAAGGTCGGTATTCATAGTCGATTCTTAAGATTGTCTTAAGTCAATCCGAGGATTGTATTAACATCTTAAGACATTTTATTTTAAAATGATTTTAAAATAAAAAACGGACTATAAATACCGCCCCAGGTTTCGCGTGTCACAGTTGGTAGACTGCGTACTTGTAGGGACGACGCGGAGAAAAAGTAGGCGTGGTTTGGCTAAACTGAGCACACCACATAATCCTTCCACCATGTTATGGAGTTGCTACTAATGCTAGTTGGTGTTAGTGCTACTGCTACGCACACGCACTCGTAGCGAGTCATAGCATTCGTAACGTAGCTCATAGCTGGCAGTCACTTTAACTCTAGTACAGCTACAGGCGGCGCGCTAGCCGTGTGACTTTCCTCGTCGAGAGAAATGTCGTCGACGACGATAATTGTCGCGGCGGCGTTGGAGTAAACATTGAAACATGTCCGGGTCCGGACCGAATGGTCGTACGCAGACACTCGGTCAACTCGGTGACAACGTTCGAACGGGTGCGGAAGTGGTTTGCGCGGTCTGTGACAAGACTGACAAGCTATCGAGGTGTTCGCGCTGCAAAGTCGTTTTCTACTGCACGAAGGAGCATCAAAGACGCGACTGGAAACGCCACCGGGAGTTTTGTGCGACTCATCCCGCGGCCACCGTGCCTGCGGAGGAGCCGTTCTCTCTGCCTGCTGTTGCTACGATTGCCACGAACGAGAGTTTGGATCGCGAGATCCCGTCCAAGCGGCATCCCTCTGTCGGTAATTGTAAAGCCCCGAAGGCGGTTGTTCCTAACCTAAACCTAAACAAGACCTCGGCCGCACCGCGGAGCTTGAACGTCAGTAACGTCACCTCGGAGTCTCGTCGGAACGTGAAGCATCCAGCAGGTATGCGCGCGCGATTTCATATTGTTAAATTGTTGTCAAACTCATTGTCAGATTTTACGCAGTTTTACACAGTTTTACGCAGTAGGAGGATTTTGCGCGTTAATGACATTTGATGACAATAGGAGCCGATAACTCGCGATATAAATAGCAAATCCTACTGATTGCGCATTTCTGCATTCTAACGTTAGATAGAATATACTCGCAGCACCGATGATACAGAGGCGTTCTATCGTATCTTAATTATGAGATAATTACATCGCCTTGTGTATGTAATGTCAAACTGACAGTTTTTTTTTATATACTTGTTCTGATTGCAGATGCGAGTGTGCAAGAAGAAAACGAATCGAGTCAACAAGAACGGAAAAGAAATCAGAATCTTAAGAAGAAATCGAATAGCGGAAAGGCAAGGAGCGCGAGAAATAACAAAGCCGATGGCTGGACGTCGCCTATAACGTATGAGGGAAGTTCAGAGGACATTATACTGGGAGCTCGAGCCGAGCTCCTAAATCCAATTTTAGAGAGTTCCAGGATTTTCGATAGTTTGAGCAACGCGGATCTTGGCTCACCTGCTCAACATCGTAACGGTATGAAGAACTTGTCGGAGATACAGGATCAGGAAGAAGATTTTTCACCTCCTTTTCTACATAGGAACAGAAGTAATCTCGAAGAACTTCTAGACAAAATTTGTCAGTATGTAATAAGGGATATGGACAAGTACGGTGTATGCGTGGTAGACAAATTTTTAGGCAAGGAGAGGGGTCTTAAAGTGTTAAATGAAGTGTTAAATATGTATAGTGCCGGATTATTTCAAGATGGACAATTGGTTTCTAATAAAGGTAGCGCAAATGACTTAAAAACGATACGTGGCGATGAGATAATATGGCTGGATGGAAAAGAAGAACAATGTGAAAATATTGGCACACTGATATCACAGGTCGATGCAATCATTATGAGAGCCAATAAAATGCACAATAATGGGAAAATAGGAAATTATACAATCAATGGAAGAACAAAAGTGAGTATAGCTTTTTTCTGTTTAATCTCTTTATATGTTAAATAATAGGACATGATTTATTTTACTTTAAATAATATATTGCAAATATATACATATATGTATGTATATGTATATATGTGTGTGTGTGTATGTGTGTGTGTGTGTGTATATATATATATGTATATGTATAATATAATTGAGATTTTATTAAGGCACAATTTAAAGAAATCTTAACTCTTTATAATCGATAATACGATTATGCATACGTTGTGCTTTCTTATTTTTATTAGATAAAATTAAACAGCAGCGTAAAACAATTGTTCGCTTAGTAGCCACATGGTGAAAAGTTTACAAAATGTATCTTTCTCCTGATTTCTTTCGTATTGGCGTGTTCGGTTATCGTTTACATGGTGGAAAGTATTAATGCGAGACGCACCAAGTACACGATTTTCAATCACGCCGAGGTGAATGCGATAGACAAGGTCAGAACTCCAAAAATGTAAAGATCTGCGAGGGAGTATTGTATTGTATGCCGAAAGGAGGAGGAGAGTGGGATCGCGCCAAGTGCAGTCAGTCACGTACGCCGCGCGACTCCCACCCTCTAGCCCTCTTTCTCTTCTCATGCCGACGCTGCGCCGGTGACGCGATACAGCAAATTCGCTTTATACTATTCAGCTGCTCAATTGCATTGGCATCTAGTCATTTCTTTCCACGAAGATGGAAATATTTAGCGAAAGATATGTTTCCGCTCAAGCTTTTGTCTATGTATTATTAATGTTAAAAGATGGTAATACCATAACGTATTTTCTTATATATCCGGTTATTTAATTACAATAGAATACAGATTTTTATATTAATATGCGTAGTAAGTAATGGAAAAAATAAATGTGTAATTGAAGACGCGAAGATAAAACACATACACAAAATGAGATTTTTTATTACAATATAGTTATGTATTTTTCTTTACAAAAAATTTGCAAATCTTGTAATGAAAATCGAGATGCAATACAAAACAAAAGAAAAATCAAAACTTTCGCTAAATGAATAATTATGTAAAGTTGATACGTAGAACATCCTGTTATGAAATTTTCACGTTTTTCTAATAGCGTGCTACAACAATTGAATATAATTGCTATTGAAACCTATAAATCATCTTTTGTTTTATCAACAGATTCAGGATATTTCTCGTATTGTTCGCGATTGTATTGCAGTTCGTCAAATTATCAGTTTAATAATTATTTGAATTGTGGTCGTTATCATTATCCTTCCGTATGATTTACCAGTATCTATTTTTAGTTAGATATTCGATTACTCATAATAAGACAAGGACATTGTATATCATCTGTATCACATATGTTAACTCATTTAATTCGAAGTAAAAAAATAGAAAGAAAGCCAGGATGATCGTTTCATTTACTATTTTATAATACTTTATTTTATACACTGTCATTTTTCCAGCTATATCATAAGCTATGCGCGTGCAAAAATATTTACAATAATACACAATCTCAGTTAATCCATCTGTGGATGTATACATATTTTCGAGTCATAAATATCCTTATTCGAATAACAAGTGACGAATAAAAAAAAACTAATATATATTCACTTCGTTTATTCTTTACTACATAAATTATGATGATAATTAATGATTGGAGTTTTAAAGAAATATGTTTACGTTTAGTTACGTGTGATAAAAAATCTAAGATATTTTTGATCAATGGCCATGTCTTTGAAAGTCAAGACATTTGAACATGTATTTAACACAAATACAACATTTTACATTTTTTAAATGTAGAAAGCATTACGTAAAACATTTTGTGTAGTGTAATATATTTAGAACATCTCTTGTGTAACATACATACAAATGTATTTTCTATAATACTTTAAAATCAAAATTAACTAAAGACCGTATGTTAAAAAAAGTGTACTTAGAAAAGTATATTGTTTTTTTTTTTGAAGTACTAGAAAAGTTAACGTAAGAATTTTTGCGATTTTATCATCATTTATTATAACTATAAACAGACTTTGTTATCAGAAAACGTGAGATTACGTACATAAGGTAATATGCTTTCAATGTGAACTGAGTCAGCCAATTATTTTTGTTTTTTATAATTGCGTCGTAAGTGTAATGCAATAGTATATATCGATAATTTAGCAAGATAAAAAGAAGTATAAAATATTTGTCTATTAACGACTATTATTTATTAATGACTATTCCCGCTCATCAATGGAACAAATGATAAACGTCATATTTTAAACATATAAAAGTATATATTATATATGTTATTAGGTGTTGGAATTAATTCGTAGCGTTTTACAAATGATGGGAAGTACTTTCATTAATGTATTTTTTAATGCTCATGTGAAATAAATAACATTCTTTCATTAAAAAACGCTACGAATTAATTCCAACACCTAATACATATATTTTTCTCTCTTCCATTAAATATATATGTATGCTGCGTTAAAATAAATATAATCTAGGCATAATTGTTTTTAAATCCAACAATGCTAGTCATCAATTATTGCTTATCTACATGTTTTTTCTTTTTAAATAAACTATAACTACACAGTTTGTACTTTAAATCATTTAGTATTCTTGTATATTTCTAGAAAATATAGCATTTGTTATCTTTTTATACATAAATATTCGTTATAGTAAGATGTAAAATTTGATATAAAAAAATTTATTATATATCAAAGAGAGAAAAATAACGCACGTAAATATCTTTGCAGATCTCTTATTGCAGCAATATTAAATTGTGATGTCAAATATGAAAAATTAAATACATTTTCTCCTTGCGCATCGGAATAAATGAATACCTTCCTATCATTCATGTTTGATAATATAAATCAGCAATAAACTTTTTTTTATCTTGCGTAAAATCGACTTGCGTCGAGCTATTTAAATAATCCAATATTTTCGAAATTTACAAAGCTAGTCACAATTCATAATCTATCGATTATATATTCGTCTCTTTTAATAAAATATATTTTTCTTCGAAATTCCAGGCGATGGTAGCTTGTTATCCTGGTCACGGTTCACATTATGTAAAACATGTGGATAATCCTAACCGAGACGGACGTTGCATCACAGCCATTTATTATCTTAATCGAGATTGGGATGTTAAGGTGAAATTTTATATATGTATTAATATATTTTTAATTGTTAATTACAAGTTCAATAAAATAATTTATCACGATAGAAATTTACAAATAATTGCGTATTTTTTATTGTATGCAGGAGAATGGCGGACTTTTGAGGATATTTCCTGAAGGATGGCGCGATCAAGTAGCAAACATAGAACCTTTGTTCGATAGGATATTATTTTTCTGGTCAGACAGACGAAATCCGCATGAAGTGCAACCAGCGTTCAAAACGAGATATGCCATTACGCTTTGGTATTTCGACGCCGAAGAAAGAAATCAGGCTTGCCGAAGATATCAAAGAGAAAGTGCGTAAACAATTGTATTAGCTATCTTTTTCTGTTTTTTTCCCCGATATAGCTAACAATTTTTACAGAAATGTCAATACTAATTATAGCTAAGCTCTAATTCATAATATTAAAATATATTTTATAACATTAAATAAAATTAGAATAAAACGTTTCTTTTTTATCTTTATTCTACGTTATTTAGTCATATTAATAAAAAATTAAAATTGTAATTTCGGTCAAACCACAAGGTGACCTTTTGCATTTTCTATTTTGTGAATTACATGAAATTTATAAATATAACTCATAATTTCTTTTAGGAGATCTACATACGAAAAATAATGGTTCGTGAGATACAGAACATGAAGAATTATTACGCCGTCCGTTTGGACTGAAGTTATACTTGTATATAAAATATATGTATTAAAATAAAATATTATGTATTATTATGTATTATGATAATTTTTGCAGGAGGAATTGAATAACGAAGAAAATTACGAAAATAATGTGTTTACAAGGAAGTGCAATAGACGTAAGAGTGTACTTTTTTTTACAGATAGCACTGTAATATATGTGATGAGTTAATGTATGTAGTTGCAATTCATGCTTTCATGTGTGCGTGTGTGTGCGTGTGTGTGCGTGTGTGTGTGTGCGTGCGCGTGTGCGTGCGTATATGTATGTGTGTGTGTACAAACAAATACATATATATACATACATAATTCTTTATTTCGATTTCTGAGATTCTACATATTCACACTTTTTAACCTAATATTTAAAATATCAAATTTGCTTCCTAAATGTTTTGAAGAAAACTTATATTTGTGTCGATCATTAACTTCCGTTATGTAAAGTATTAACAATATTTAGAGCATGTTGCATTTGAAATATTTTATAAGCGAAACCATAGAATATAATATACAAAAAATTTCTTCCAGGAAATCATTATTAATTTACCTTGATTTTAAATAAATTTGTTTCTGTAATATCTGTATGCGCTATATTTTTTAGTATCAAAGCAACTAGTTGCTAAAGGATAAAATTATATTGCTCACACAAGATGTTAGTATTATCATGTTGTAATATTACGATTGGACATTAACAACTTTTTACGCTTAAAAAACGTATTTGATTTATTACGGCCAGTAATTGACTTATACTTCCAGCGCAACAAAATTGAAATAAATTGGGGCCCAGTCTGTACCTGTATAATGTTATGTATATTGCAAAACGATAGAAACACTGTGTTTAATATTCAATGTATCTATTTATATGAATTAATGGGAAGAAGTAAGCATGCGCGTACCATCTGTGTCCTATTCCATCTGTGTCCAAATTTGATACATATTCTTGTCATCCCCTCTAATGTAGGAGATATAAGAAAAGCAGGTAATTAGAAAAAGATATGTTCATGATCAGAGGCGTGCTTCGGTTACCTCTAGCTTTGGCACACATTACACATAAATGCATATACTAGGCACGCCCCTGTTTATGAAGTTATAAATATATTCCTAAAAATTGAAATTGTCTCAATATTTCCTACTGTATTATTGGACACAGAAGATTAATTGTAAGAAATCATCTAGAAGTCCTTTTCATAATTAAATTATTTTTGCCCTATGGGCTTAATTTGTTTCGACGTTTATATAGACATTTATATGTACGAAAATTATAATTTAAGGACTTATTATCAGCGCGTTTTCGAAATATTGTAAAAATAAACAAGATTTTGTTATCAAAGCGAAATAAATATACAAACTTATAAAAGAAATCACTCATGTATTAATAGTGTAACTTTATACAATGTCTATGAAGAAAATTGTTATGGTTTTTCATATAATTACCTTCTCGATTTAAGTAACATTGATGTCGTTTGGAAGTTGACAATCTTGAATTTGATTAATGGCAGGCACATAAGATTGAAACGAATAATTGTTTTTCGCGAACATTCCGGGATTTATCACATAACAATCGGAATAGTTAGTCGTATATGTTTCAAAATTGTCAGCAATCACAATGAGATCTGGTGTTGGAAATATCTGTAAAGCATGGTCATATTTCCAATATACTGGAACAACTTGAAGAGGCACTGGGGTCAGATGTGATTGACTGATGATGGCTTTGGCAAACTAAAATTTGTGATAAATATTGATATCAATATATATATATATATATATATTGACACACACACACACACACAAAACATATATTTGATAGTATTTAATTTAACGTCTACTTACATGTTTAAAAAAGTGTTCTTCTTTCGGAAAATGAAGCGCATTCCTACACATTTTTGTCAACATATCTTCTCTTAATATTACAATTTCCTTTGTACAATACTGTATTCTACATGGATTTGTTGTAAAAATAGCGTTTGGTATCATTTTTGTAACTTCTTCAATAATGCATTTGGGCAAAGGAGGTTTTGGTAAAATTTTAGGAGAACCTAAATCATGTGGGCCAGGTACAAAAATAAATTTCGTAAATTCCTTTATACTTGTATATTGTGTTATTATTTCAACTAAATTTTTAAAACCAGTTATCAAAGTTTTCGCACTAGTTATATTTGTAGGAAAGCTTAAAAAATGACCACACAATACAAAAGCTATAGGAGGATAATCCATGTAACCATCCAGTATTGTCTTAAATTTTTGTAAAACATGTGGAACATCCAACCATAATTCTGCTATGAATACTATCATTCCATCCTGGTTAGTTTCTTCGTGGATTTGTAATTTTTCTGACATTTTTAGGGATATATTATGTGAGCCACCAAATGTATTTGTGTCGCCAAAATCTGATCGCAAACTTTCCGACGATTCTATTGGCGGAAGGTCAATAGTTTTTACATGTAATACATCATCCTTGTAAACACCATTAGCTATTACTATAAAGCCTTCCATGATAAAAGTATCTTGAAAATCTTATACATAAAATAAGAAAAATAATTTTGTATATGTAGAAAGTATGAGAGACATATATGTATTGTATATAGTACAGAGTTAACTTAAAAAAAAAAACCAGTCAAATTTTAATCAACGAAAATATTTTATATGGATGAATCTAGAAATCTATCTTTCTAATTTTTCAAAATTTGATTAAGAAATGATTAATTGTAATTTCAAGCTCATAATTTCATATTATTATGAAATAAATCATTTAATCATTAACTTATTTTTATTACATAAAATATCAATTAAAAATATATCTTTAAAAGTATTGTAATAACACTTAATGTGTTATACACACTGTAATAACTTCAAAACTAGTATTGTAATAACACATAGTATTGAAATAACATATCACTAAAATTTATGTGATGTTTAGTAGTGTTTGGAATAAATTGGGAAATATTTTTTTTATTATTTAAATATTATCCATATAAAATATTTCCATAAATTTTAAAATCAATATATTTTTTAAATTAAATTAAATATTTCAAAATGCAATAATTAAGTATATTGTAAAGGATATTGTATTGCTGAGGTCAATCTTGACAGTTCCACTTGTATCTTCTAGATAATATTGATCTTCCATTAATTGTGTTATCAGACCCATTATACATACATTCCCTGTTCTCAGCTCACTTAACAGATATTCAATAGGTATTAAATTTGTTTTATGTGTTTGCTGTTTTTCAAATTTAGATGACAGAAATTGTTTGTGTCTTAGAGTTTTATACCATGCCATTTCAAAACGATATTTAAAAACCAATGATTTATATTGAGTTTCAGGATATGAGTTCTCATTGTCAATGACAAATTTCTTTTTAGAAATATCATATTTTATCTTTGGTATATTATATCCATCTATAACATTGAACACTGTTTCTGTGTCTTTCAATTTATTTGGTTCTAAGCATTCTTCTATAGCAATTTTTATATGTTCGGCTCCAACATGTGGATCATCCAAATTTTGAGCCAAAATCAGTTCTATAATACGATTAAGCCAAGATTCACGTTCATTTTGTGGTATTTTTAACAATTGCTTTGCAAAAGATACTCTAAGCTCTCTAAAAAAATATAAACAATTATGAATGATTGTTTTATGAGTTATGTGCAATTACATATAAAAATAATATGACAGAAAATGTATATTAAGAAAGTATTATATAGTAGCTATTATATATTAATTACATTACATTAATATATAAAATACATAAATATACATTATAGAAATAAGATTTAAACTATTAAAAATTTATTTATATTTTAATAATTTGTTTAACACCTTCACGATAGGGCCATAATTTGTTAGTCGTGCATGTACCATCGGTGGTACATCCCGGAATAAACATGTTAAAGAACTTTCCATCCTTTTGTTATGAAATTTTTTAATTTAATAAATAGAATATTTACCTTGATAATACCAAGCCGTATAATGAAAAATTTGTTTGAATCATCTGTATGCATTTACTGTCAGCCATCGTTATGCACAATACGTATATATACAGTGAATATATAACGTAAATATATTGTGAATAAAAAAAAAGCATACACTAATGCTAAGAAATTAAGTAATTACATTAAACAGACACAAATTTACTATATAATATAAATCAAATCATCGAAAAAGAGAACTGCGCAAAAAGGTTAGGCACTTCTTCTTTTCTCAACATTTTCCCGCTTTTAAATCTAAAGTCCACATCATATTACATATTTTTGTTTTGCAAGCATGAAAACTAAAATTGGACATTGAAATTTAACCAATCAGATAATCGAGTAATCTTGGTTGATTTTGCCCTGATTGGTTGAATCAGAGAGAAGCCTGAGAGTGGTCATGTCCGGAATTTAGCTATTACTTTATTTTGAAGCGCATGTCCACAGAATGAATTACGTAATCAATGTCCATGATTCGGTCGGTAATGTGTATGATTTTTTGGTTGTATTCTTCGCTATGTCCACAAACACCGACAAGATACTATTAAAAACCGTCAACCCTAGGTAAATTTTCAGCGGTATATCTATATTGTAGAAAAATTACAATTTTTTTTTAAATCATTTGGTAATCTGATGGCTCTAAATTTTAAAGACAAAATAAACAATAATAAAATGAGAAGTGAGTAAGAATATCGTATACTTTGCCGATTATTTAAAACATCTAAATGCACACATTTTATCTATATTTCTTCTTGTCATTCTCCGATTTGTCAGGCTGATGCAAATGTTCACCTGGGCTCTTCGAACTATCCCAACTCTTCACAACTGGCATTACGTCAACGTGCAGAAATTTAAATAGAATCGAAATTATGTCGAAAAAACAAATTACATCACGTTACATTTCTGCTAATCAATAATATCTTTACTCTTGCTTCCAGCGACATTATCGATACTGAAACTCGTCCATCATTCACTAATCGATATGCATGACTGATCTATAAGATATCATTTTGAAAGACTTTCAAGACCTCGTGAAATCCTTTACCGAATATCTATACAAATTCAATGTTTCGTGCAAGGAAACATAAGGCGGTTTCGCGCCTTTTTTGATATTTCAAATTCGCGTCGCGTCGGGTCAGCGTCGATTGGCGAGCGTGTCATGACGTCGTCGTGGAAGATCGTGAAGCAGAAATCGTTCGAATCGCGTCCGCGCGTTTAATCGTCCACGATCGCGATTTTCAGAAGCGGATTCCGCGTGCGGTCGAGACTTTGCTTCGCGAATGTTTTTTTCCGCGCAAGATGCATATATAACGTTGTGTCGTGCATCGCGCGTGTCGAACGCCATGACGAAAGTGCCGTGCAACATCATCAATCTCGGAATCGACGGGATTCAGGGGACATCCATCGAATCTTTTCCGCAATGAACAACATAGCTATCACGACCAGGTGATGAGGTGCCAGGTACGCATTCTGGAATTAATATCATTAATATTTTCGCCACGAGTTTCGTCGGAGTCGAACTTGTAAATTATAGCGAATTTGAATCACTTAGACTACGCTAGATCAGTACATATTAAACGTTGCTATACATTAAGCAATTAGCAAAATAAAATATGAAAGTATATAAATATTTTAAACGATTAATTATCTACTAATGATATTGTCACATTATTTAATGATTATGTATGTACATATATAATTTCATTGTCAAAGTTGATTATATTGTATCATTGCATTGAGATATTTTATATAAAGCACTGATCCAGTGTAGAGCGAGTGATTGAATTCATCATTAAAGATCGTCAATTTTTTACGTGAAGTTGCATGATTTGAAAAGTTCACTTGTACATTAACGCCCTCGATAGATAATGCGTTCGAATCGTGAAGCTGTTAGTCAACCAGAACTGATGGTAACTTGATGCAAATCTTAATATTAAATACTTTATATTAGTTAGGACTTCAGGAGCACATTTTAATTGCATTAGAAATGATATTGCAAATATATCCGTATTTAAATATTATCCACTATACATTACATTGGTTAGTCATACATTTTATTAAAATTTGTGAAAACTTATATAAACTTTTAACCTTTGTAAAAATTCGTACGTCTCATTTTTGCAATTATATTATACTTTGAAATAATTATAGAAATGCATATATAACTGATAGAATTGCATGATTACAAAATTATAGTTAAAAAATTAAAAATAGTTATTATACAATCGAAGCTAATTATTTTGTATTCGTATAAATAATCAAGAATATCGAATTTTAGTGTTCTTTATTAAAAGAAATATACAGTATCTGTAATTAAAAGAATAAAGAGAATTATTCCACATCTTCCTCATCATCATCTTCTTGACTGTTAATCTGGAAGTACCGTAACTCGTACGTTTCCTTGTCTTTCGATACTACTCGCAACCAATCACGCAATTTGTTCTTCTTCAAGTATTTCTTTGTCAAGTACTTAAGATATCTATAAAAACAATGTTTTCCAAATTAGTGCAAATATCGCTCTTCCTGTAGCTTATAATAGTAAACTTGTAATAGTAAAAAATAAGCCAATATTCACAGTCAATTTTTATTTTAAAATTATCTTAAGATGTCACGAACTAACTGGAGGGACATATTAAGACAATATTGAAATAATAATGGACTATGAATATTAGCCTTAATATTGTTTAATATCATAAGATTTTATCTACTTAATGAAGACAAGATGACACAAATATCGTTTTATCTTTGTTCCTCATTGAATGCCAAGATAAAATGATATTTGTATCAACTTGTATCACTAGAATCACAAGTATTCAGTTATTCTTATGGGCTTTCTATAATATAATAAGTCATTAAGCTCGAAGTCTTAAACCATAAGAAATTGACTAATCATAGTCGATTATTCTTCTCATATTCGACTATGATTGATCAATTTCTTATACCTCAGAGTTTAAAGCTTAAGATTTATTCTTGTAAATGCTACTTAAGTCGATGACAGATATGTATTAACATCTTAAAATATTGCTTAAAGTGGTTTTAAAGAACAGATTATCAATACCAATCTAAATGGTAAGCACCTATAAACCAGTATTTATAGTCTTATTTAAAGATTGTCTTAAGTAATATCATAAGATGCTAATTTAACTTTGTGATTGATATATTGAAATTGTATTTAAGATGGTTTATATGAACTGACTATGGATATCAATTTTATCCATAATGTTCTACGATTGTTACAAAGAAAAACGATATTACTCACCGCTTCGAAAAGTCGACATCACTGTTGACAGTGAGTTTCATTTTGTTACGTTCTAAGGCAACATTGTTGCCAAAGTTATTCGTTTTACCACCAACCTTGATTTTTTCTTGTAAATATTTTTCCTAAAAAGAGAAAACATCACTATCTTATAATAATCAGTCTCAACAATATCGTATTAAAACTTCAGTAGGCACCATGCAATTCAAAATAAATCAACGTTAGAATTTTTCATCACGTAGAAGTTAGGAATCCGCGAGAAATAAGTGTCTCGATTTCAATTAAACGAGCAATTTCGAGCAAAATTCTCACAAATGAGAAAACAGAGTATTAGGAATATAATCTGAAATAATTAAGAACAATAATATAACTTACAAAATTGGTAACATCCATAATATTATCCTCCACGGGATGCGTGCAATCGATCGTGAACCTTACGGATACCTTTTTCTTCTGTCCCTTGCCCCGAAGCACCTGCTTCTTAATCGGGCCTTTAGTTTTCTTTGCTGGCTAAAAATTTGCGAAAATAATCTGTTTAATGGTAATGTTGTCATCATTTTATAGGACACGTGGAAAGGCACGTCTAAAGCAGGATAGGAGCGTACGATAAGATACAGGATGAATCGGATTAGATTGAAACGATCTCAACATAAAACAATAAGCCACTGTATCGCGATCGATAAGTTGAACGCGTTCTTTCCATACGTGATGTTATTTTAACGAAATTCTGCCATAATTGTGAATAATAATCGTATTTTTGCGAGAACGACAACTTACCGGAGCCATGTTTACGTGTGTCTAACGAATGAAAGAACGCAAGAAAATTGATCATCATATAGCGCTATAATCGTTTAGGGTGCGATTACATGAAGCGATACGCGATACAGTAAAGCTGGAAATACAATAAAAAGTACCATAATAGAAAAAAACCATAATAGAATGGATGCTTTCTGATAGGTTGAAATCTTTTATTCCCTGTTCCTATTGCCTGTGCTTTTCATTGTGTTTCTAGCTTAAGCATTTAAGCCTATTTACAATGAGTGCATTCAGAACGATATAACCGCTCGATCTGATTGGTCTATATTTTAGGATCTAATAGAATATTCTGAATGCACCCAATGTGCTCTTTGTTATCTGTTTCTTATTTTTTATTTTATGCTTTTTTTCTCATTTGCAACCGTTTTATCGACAATTGTATTTCTTGTTATATATTTCTTGTTTCGAGATTCGTTAATTTTTATCTCAGGCGATATAAAACAAAAAACCGGATAAGAAGCAAAAAGACAAGATGTAAAAAACAGAAAACAAAATGCATATTGTAGAATAAGCTTTAAGGTTATGGAAACACGATCGTTTTATCAGTTTGCCTGTAGTAGGCAAGTACTTGTAGTTAATTGATCCGATATTTGGCGATAATTAAATGAGATATATAAACGTAACGAATAATTCAAACTGAATTGTTCAAAGGATTTGATTAGAAAGTTCTGAGAATTATTTAAAAGTAGTTGGATTGCACTTCATTTAATGGATAAATGCTTTTATCACACACTAATAGGTTAGTCCATTATTTGCGTCGTAAATTTATCAATATCTCTATCAATATTTCAAATTGAAGATATATTAATCATTATCTCTCATTTTCTTTTCGTAATCATTATCCTTTTTTTCTTTAATTTGCTACATTTCTGCATATTTATTATAGTTAAATTATTTTATCACAAATGTATTTTTTTGATAAACAAACGAAAATTTGGTTTTTCTGACTCAATTATTTAGATAATACTGTTTTATCCAGATATCTTGTATATATCTAACAAATATTTTGAGAGTTTTTTTTGTGTTTCAGATATATAATATAATAATGCTATAAAGCAGAGTTGAAACGCAAATACTAACGATTACTGTCAAATTAGGATTATATCTATTTCAGAAAGAGGGTGAAAAATGCAGTCTAATATAAAAAAGTTTATAGAAAAGAATGCTTCCTTCTATGTCATATTACCATTAATTGTAGGACTTCACATAGGTTGGTTTGCCTTGCAACAGCGTTATGTTCCAGTGTCTCAAAGACACGATCATCCAATAGTCACATTGTATAAGAAATTTAGTACATGATAATACAATGTATATGAGTTTTAATTTATTATTAAAAAAGTAATTTAACAAATTTAGTATTTGAACTTATAATAAATAATGAAGTAAATCTATTTTATATTTGCACACACATCTACATTTTTCTTTTTCTCCTAAATTTTTTAATAATGTAAATGAATAAATTAAATGTACTAAAGAAATATCTTAATGAAATATCTTATTGAAATAAGTTTTATTTTATTCTTACTTGATAGAACTTCCTATTTAAAAACACTACTTTTTATTGTTCTAATTTAACACACAATATTCTGTTTTAAGATAGAATAACATGTTACTCTATTGTAAAGCAACTTCAGAGTCTGCAATAATTTATTACATACTTAAAATTTGAATGATATAATATATATTAAAATAAATATTTCTTATACATATTTTATACCAAATTTTATTGTAAGAGATATACATGATTTGCACGCGTCTACTCTTTCCTATATATATAAATAAAAATCTAAATAAAATCTATAAAAAAAGAATGTGCTAATATAAATAAAATTGAAGATAATAACATTCATTTTCATAGAATTCTATAAATTAACGTTAATATTCTCAAAAAGCTTAGGAAAATATATATACAATCACAGAGGAAATTGATTAACCTCTTATAGTAGGTAGATGGTCAAAATTTTGTTGATGTATTGAGGAGCTCTTCGGCCGATTTTCACTTTGGCTATGGACAGAAGGACCAGCCTTAGGTAGTTGAGGTAACACCATTTGACTTATATATATTGATTTATATTCTTAGATTACTCTTGTTATTTAATCATTAGATAAACTTACCCTAGAACGTTCTCGATACTTTTTAAGTTTTTCAAATTCTTCCGTCTCAACATCTGGCATTTTAAAATGAAAATTATCAAAATAAGAATGCCGCAACAATTGTTCGCACGTCCACCTTTCATTTGGATCCTTATCCAAACATTTCTTTAGGAAATCCAGCTATAAACAAGAGATTTATTTACCTACAGTAATTATATGTAATTATATGTAATTATATGTAATTATATGTATATTACGGAGGTAACTCTATTATGAAAGTATATATTACATATAAAATATTTTTTTTTTCATTCGATTGTACTGTGTTTTAAATTGAGATCAAAGCGGATTTGTTGATATTACTTGTAAAGTACTGCCATTTCCACGGGGTAGAGTGTTTTCAAGCGGCGTAAGTGTTTGCGGAGTTGGAAGAGTGATACCGCTAAAGAATTCATTCTGTTGAAAGATAGCCATGTGTCTCGGTAAAAGATCACCCAGCGTTCTTCTTATTAAGTATAGTTGATCCACATCGGATTTTCCCGGCCACAAAGCTTCGCCCCGTATTAATTCAGCAAATACGCAACCGATGGCCCATACATCGACCGGAGTGCCGTATTGTGTGTCCCCAACCTGCTCCGAAAAATAGTTAACATCATATTATAATTTTCTGAATAATAATTCTATTATAATTTAAAGAATGAAAATTTTTTAATCTTGCTTACATTAAAAATTGAAAATGTTTGCATAAAAACTTATTTGTTTTACGCCTAAATTTTCAATACTTAAATAACGTACATATATTAGGTGTTGGAATTAATTCTATATATATATTTAAACAAAGCTAAATCATAAAATTTGAAAAAAAATAAATTAAATTTTTGTAAATAAATTTTCATCTTTTATATATTAATATTATTTTATATATTAAAAAAAATTTAGTATAACTAAACAGTAGTTTCTGAAAAAATACAGAGATGTCAAAATTTCAATGAAAGAAGAAACAATCACGATTGCTTTATTATCACAAACGTAAGTCGTTGATAAAAGTTGTTTGATCAAATCCATTGATTGATTGTATCAATAAGAAACCAAGATAAATTAAAACTTGATGAAAATTATTAGACGTGATGTTGACTTGTAGTTTTGTTGCGCATGCTATCTATGCGCGATTAATAGAACTGTTATTATTTTTCTTATAAAATCCGAAAATATTACAATTGTGCATCCGGATATTTACCAACAATTCAGGTGCTCTATACCATCTGGTTGCGACATATTCCGTATAATTCTCGCCAGGACTCAGCATACGCGCGAATCCAAAATCACATAATTTTACTACTCCTTCGGAAGTGATGAGGATATTTTCTGGCTTTACATCTCTATGAACGCATCCAAGACGGTGGCAATAGGCGATACCTTGCAGAATTTGCCAAGTAATTTGTCTCGTTGTGAGATCTGGGCAACCGCTAGGATATTTCTCCATTTCATTCAAAAGGGTATTTTCACAGTATTCGAATACCAAATGTAATTTCCTCTTCCGTCTGAAGACTTCCAGAAGATTAACCAAGTTTGGATGCTTGAGATTCTGTAGATCAAAGGAAGAATATTAATTTCTAATTCTTAATCATTTAATTATATCAGCAAAATTAATTATGTTAATTGTGTCTGTAAAAGAATTTGCGACAAATCGAGACGATCAATGCGTCCCTGCTAATTTTCCTCTTTTAAAATAAAAGTAATTTTATGGATATTTTTTTTTTATAGACAATTTACTTATATTTGTCTTCCTCTCTCACTTTCAAATTCTTAATTCAATCCTAAAGTTTGTATTTATAATTTCGTGGCGCTTTATGAGTAAAATACTGCAAAGAGATTTTAGCATGTTGGTCAGAGAGACATTTTCGTAATGCAGTACTATTATCTACCGAACAAAGAATAGCCTTGAAGCAAAATGTCAAAACGTGGCAATAAGGGGGCTTATTTGAATGCGCATACGTTTGGTGAACCCACTGATTGTAACGATAATATTAGGTCGGTAAGACCGTAACACGCCAAGATATTGACCGGTGCCCGGTATTGACCGTTGGCTACTTCTCGCAGCCATTATTGCTTCTGTGTGAGCTTCTTATCGTGTAAATAAGAACGTCACTTCCTTCTTTGAGTGCCCGCTACTTTAATTCTATCTTATAAGCAATGGTTGAAGAAACGAGAACGATAACAAAAAGTTTTATTAAATATAAATCTAGAAATTTCATTTGTACATTTTATTTTTATAATTATATCGTTACGTACATGTACATTTTAAAATGAAAACAGGAAGTTATAAAGGGGAAAAGAACGAATGAAAAAAAAGAAGAATTTATGAAAATGTATCTAAATATTTAATTAAATTCTCAAGAGACTAAAATTATCGCACCATCATCCTATGTGCGTGGGAACTAGCGAACGTACACGTTTCTTGAGGTCATTCACCTTCAAGAATTGCGACCCTCGACAAACTTGATTATTCCGCAGATCGATCGAATCGAAAAACTTCGAGAATTATATCAACTATTCTTATAATCTCTTTTTTTTTTATAATAAAAATTATCCACAAAATGTTTACCGCAAAGATCTTACGATTTTCCATTCATTTTTGTTAGATCGTAAAAAGTAATTACTCAAGCAGAACAACAAGTCATTATGATATTAAAATAATGTCAAAATGACTCTAAAATGATCACTAAAAGTCATTTTTCAATCATTTCCGATTCATTTTAATGTCATTTTGAATCATTTGAACGTTATCGTGACTCGTTGTTCTGCTGGGGTATAAATAAAAACATTTTTGTCAACTGAGAGAAATGAAAAGAAACTGACCTTCAAAAGACGTATTTCCCGGAGTGCGATCTTACGTATCAGGGGATCATCCTCGGTTTGCTGAAACTTCTTTACAGCTACCAGTTTTCCAGTTTGCCGATCCCTGCACTGGAAGACGACGCCATAGCTACCCTCGCCGAGACGTGCCAGACGTTCGTAACGCTCCATGGCTTTGCTCGGCGCCCGAGACCTGTGCAAAATCATTTTTTTACGATATTACTACTGGATTTCAATGAAATTTCATATTGGAACTAATAGGAAAATCGATAATTTACATCAGCCGATACACATAATTTGTAAAATCCAATTCGAACGAACTTCCAGCCGCGAACTTGCAACCGCCTCCAAATGATTTAATATTAAATCAATGATTTATTGGCAAAAATACTATTTTTACGATTTACTCATTCTAAAATAAATGTATAACGTATCGTATAATACTGGTTTTTATGTCAGTAAAATATTAATTCAGCGAATTTTTTTTAGTCGTCGCGATCCCAGTGAAATATTTTTGAAAATTAGAACTTCTCTATATCTTTGCGTTTAGAAGAATATTTAATTTTTTTCTTTTTTTTTTACTAAATGATCGATCGTTAAGAGCGTCACATTAACTAAATATCGGTGCTTCGAATAATTACTGTTTTTACACAGAGCGCTAAATCGACGTCCAATTGTCTCATTCTTAAATACCCACTTTTTATATTTAGCAAGACATGGTAACGACGTCAATTGTTGCGTAAAGAGCATAGTATCGCGATGTACGGTACCGGCTGGACTGTTTCTGTTCCGATGGATGACCAAGGGTCAAGCTACCCTACGAGTTTTGCTTTATTCGAATTTACGTTTAGCGCAGGCGTAGGTGAAGTGCTGGTCAACTAACGATGATTGTAATACCGATCCGAAATAATACTTCTAAAATGAGCAAGTACCTCTAAAGGAGCGCAATATCATTTCGATATTCATAATGCACAGATATTGCAATCACTATTCTATCAATCAAGCAGTTCGTCAGAAGGATATAAAAATTGAATGGAGTCCTATATAACGATATATCGTTGAGTAATCAAAATCAAGATTGCTTCAAGATTAAGAATTTCCGTAAAAAATGAAAAGAATTGTTCGATGACATTGAATGTGCTTTTTAACATTTAACACTCAACTGATTGTGTACGATATCGATCCAGTAGAAATCATTTCACGAACTAGTATGATTAAACAGACTCCATAGGATTACATACGTTATTTATCGTCAAATTTATCTTTTGATTATTTGATTCAAATTTGAGGAATTAGCTAAATTAAAAGTCTCTTATTACCACTGTGGTATGCATTGTCGATAATTTGCAAACCTCACGTCGTTCATCGTATCGATGTGCTTGCGCGTATATAATGTGACATAATAATTTCCGACGTAAACCGTATGTGTTAATCTTGAAAGTTAATTGCGGCATCCGAATTTGAATGTAAATCAACAAATAAAATAGAGAACTTGAATTAGATTTGACCAGGTTATGTGTATATTACAGACAAACACGAAAAATTATTAAAACACATTTTGTTAAATAGCTAAGTTCACAAATATACTTTCAAGATCGCAATTATAAAGAATTTTAATATTTAAACGTTACTATATTTTTACTTTTTAAAGAAATCTCGTACTGATATACATACCCGTTACGTGAATAGAGTTTCTTATATAACCACATTAACTTTTTGCATATTTAAAAAAAATGCGCTCTATTTTTGGAATTTACATATATTATAACAATAACATAAAATTGTTTAAAATATAAGAAAAAATAGAATGTCGTAATAATTATTTATTTTTTAAGAAAAAAGCATCTTTAAAAAAAAATAAAATGTAACATTAACGAAATCAAATTACGGAACATTTGCATACGTTATTGTTTTTACTTAAATTTTAATATTTAATATAGACATTATATAATTATTGAAAATTTAAAAGAAAGATCACTCATTACCATTTATTTATTACAAATAAAATAATTTTATGGGCACGTAATATTATACTGATAACATCTTTTTTTAAAAAAATTTGACATTGTGTATGCGTGTTTTTAGTATAACCGTTTTTTATCTTATAATTCTTGTAATAAAATTATAATTTCTCATACGTGATTGAGTCTAAATTCTGTACATGTCACAATAGATTACGAAAATAAATGAGCGAGTGATATAATGTCTTATTCATATAACTTTTCACGATTATTCTCAACTCTCCAACCTGAAGGTTCGATCCAATTTAAAAATCCAATTTAGCGATGACATTTGATGAGCACAATTGAAGAAAAAAAACATATTGAAGAAAAAAGAACATAGAAACAATTACGTACAAAAACCCAAGAATAGAGTTCATGAAGTACTCTCGTTAGGTCACCCTCGTTGACGAACATACCGGACAGTACTAACACGTTGAAGAAAGCGACGGCTTTACGTTATTGTTGAACTCTTGATTATTGAGAATCGATATTACGTTCTCTGAGTGTGTCTATATATTCTGACCGTGAAAGAGGTCAAAATATTTTCAACTGTTGGACGGACGCTATAGCGACTATTACGTGATAAAGGCGTGAAAAAAATAGAAATATAATTCTTTTAGATAATATGCGCCCTATACACGTTTCCCATGACAGACGATAACATAAAAATGTCAGTTGCTAATCGTAACCGTCAGGTTCAATCTTTTTGACAAATTTATCATAACATTTTTTTAACATTTTATAAACGGCGATAATAATATAGTATGTAATAATAATTTAATTTGTCGAAAACAAATAATGTCACAGGCTAATACAACATATTGAGTATAAAGATAAAAAGATAAGTGTATTTTATTTTAAACAACTTTGTGAGAAGTACCTTGAAAATAATCCGCTGCAGATAATACAGAACTTTACGTAAAATTAAATAAATATTTAAAAAAATGATAGTTAATTTGTCTCTACAATAAAAGTTTTAAATAATTTATGTGTAAAACAGATTTTTGCTATTGCACAACTTTTATGGAAATACTATATTATAATAAAATAGACTCATGTTATATAATAATAAACTTTGTATCAAAAAATATATATCCAGTGAGAATGACAATGGAATCAATGTCGAATCGACATCAATTCAATGTCGATTCCATTGTTATTTCGCACTAGATATGTATGTATAACAATGTATACAACGAGATTACAACTCCCTCGAATCTTTTTAAAAAACTCTCTGTCTTTTCTAAAAGGTTTTAAAAGCAATAGACAATCAGATCTTGAATTAATAGAGTAAATGCTAAAAATTCAATGCTTACACAAAGGTATTAAGAAAAATGGTATATTAGAATAGATTCTCGCAAAATAATAGATATATAGTTATTTATCGAAAAATACATTCGAAAAGAGTAAGTGTTTAATTAATTTGAACGTATGTTTTGCATGTTTAATGACGTCGTTGTATTGACAATAATCACAATCAGTGTTTACCTCCTTGGTAGCAATGGTAGCGTGCTACCGAATAGCCAGAGCTTCCTATCTTGAAGCCATTTGTCCATTCGCAGGCTTCTCACAGGATTTTCACGCTACGAATGAAATATTCATGTTGCATTCCGACAAACACCGTAGCGAATTTATTTCGGCGTGTCGACATTGTTGACATAAGCCTTTTGCCAAAGCGGATGGTGGCACTACGTTCTCAATGAGAAACGGATTTTCACTGCATACACGACTGTTCTTTTGCCTAAAACCACGTCAACCAACCGATCGATAATCCTTTAAGCTAATGCTTTCAATAGCTGCTTCACTTGCTTTCGCTAATTTGATTGAGTCTTATTTTATATATATGTGTGTGTGTGAGTGAGTGAGTAAGTGAGACAGAGAGAGAGAGAGAGAGAGAGAGAGAGAGAGAGAGAGAGAGAGAGTGTGTAACTAGAAAATAGAAACTGGAAATGTATAAACTAAAAATTAATTGTTCACAATGTCTGAAAAAGTATGAAATGTTTGAAAAAAAAAAATTTTTTGAAATGTTTTTAATTACACATGAATAATCTAAATATATTTCTATTAATATATAATTATTATATAAACAAATAAAAAAAATATATAAATGTATAATCTTTTATTAATATAAACTACTAGAGTTCTGCAACAGATAGAATTTAGTTTTAATTTTAAATTATAAAATCTTTAATCATACAGGGAAGCACAAATATATACTTAATTTTATAGTTTTATAGTTTCATATTAAATATTAATTTTTCAGATCAATAGATACAAGGCAAAAAACATGTTATAACATAATTAATTTTCATTTATTCATACAGAATATTCTTTATACAGAATATTATTTTACACAGCTAGGGAACACACAGAATATAAGTCGGATATTTTATTTTATTAAATAAATTTGTCATTAGTAACTTTGTATATGGCAACAAATTCTTCTCATATAATATTGAATTTTAAGATTTAGCGCAGCATTCAAGATAAAACGACGTTCTAATTCTTTTCTTTTTTTCTGTTTTTCTCCCTCAATCGATTGCAGAAAAATTACAACTACTGCAGTTATTCAGGTACGAAACTATAATCATTTTTACTCATATATATAAATATATATGTATATATATGTATATAGAATATATATATGTAAGAATATATATACATATATGTAGAATATACATATGTATATAAATAACGCATAATACAAATCAATTTAACAATAATTTGACTTTTCACTAATCTATAAATTTTGTCTCGTCTGGCAGTTTTTATATTTCTTATATTATACAATATTTTTGTGCGCAAAGCAAATTTATTCTCACGAAGCATATTCAGCTTAAAAAAAAGTATATCGTACTCAACTTTTTTTTCGAATGTTGACATCTAAAATAGAAAACCTTCTTTACGAAAGAATAAATACATAAATTATTACACTATATTTTTTACAAATTAAAACATTAAGTCTGTTGCGCTACTTTTAAATGTAGTGTTTTATTTTTTGAAACGCATGAAAATTATCTTTATTGTTAATATCTTTTTTCAAAAATTTTACATGAAATAATAGAAATGCCCTTTATCTATGACTCAGATTATACATTCTTATATCAATTTAATCGTTTTTTCCAAGAAAATATTGGAGAAAATTACTATTCGTTGATTATCAGAAAAGCCTGATATATTTAGACACTCTTTGCATGTCTTTGTATCATACAAGATGATTTAGCTTTCTCGACGTCTTGCGTTTCACCTCTTACAGTAAATGTAACGAAATATCTTTTGGTACGATCCATTTTCTCAGTCGGAAGAGCAATCACTTGTTTTTCCTCTCCGTGTGTCACTTCCACCTAAAAGACGAAGAATAACATATATACATATAAAAAGATTTAAAGTAACATATGAAGTTTTCGTGTAAAACATTAGTGATTAACAAATTGTTTATTTTAATCACAAATTAAGATTAAATTTTAAACAATATATAATATTTTTTTGTTTCTTATAACAGAGTTATTAGTTCAGATTTATGTTTTTCTTCATGTCGTTACCGTCATTTGCCCTCTGCCGCGACTCTCTATTTTCGGAAGATGGTCCGCTCGATCTGGGACGCCTCCACCCACTGCAATTATAATCTACACTCACGTTACAGAAACTGACTCTTTTCGGGCTTTATGTACATATATAAACGATTATAAATCTTAAAAATTGAATAATTATTTTAGTAATAACATAACATTACAAAAAAAAAGACATGCAAGAATGTTTTCTTTAAATCTTTAATTAAATACTTCGAATATTCAAATATGAGCGTAATTATAGATTAATAAAGATATCTCAAAAGTAATGCGCGTTGTATCCAAATGCGATAATATGTTAACATACGGTAGGTATATATTGGAATAGAGGTGTAAGCGCTGGTTGCGTGATGACAACGGTGAGTTTTTTGCGTGCATTGCTTGGCTTCGGTACAAAAGTCTGGAGTAGTTGGTCTTCCCTGCAATCTTCTTAATTGCTCATACAGAAACGCTTCGAATTCTCTACAATTACAGTTTCGTAGTATTAAATTATATCAATTATACTAATAAAATTAGTATTAAATACTATAAACACTCTGTGCAAAAATTATTTAATTTAATAATTGAACCTGAACGTTAACGGCCGATCATATTTTGCAACGCCAAGAGTAGGTCCAGACATTCCCGATTTGTGGAAGGCGTCCACCTGAAAAAGATCGCTCTGCAAATTTCGCGAAATATGTATATCAACGATAATAATTATAGGGAAATGTTTAATTCTTTTTTCTATGATTTCTATGAAGGAACGTTCTATATTCGCATTACAATATTAATAATGATTACAGAGTCTTACCTGCCTTTTCACTAAGACATGTTCGTTTGCTCTACCGTGACGAATCTGTAATCTTTTCAATTCCATCAATTGGAAAAAAATTTTTCTTTCGAGATGATAACGACGCAGACTAATTTGCACATCTCTAGTAATAGTCTCCATATTGAGAGCTTGCTGTTTCGCTGTATTTGGACAACATTTTATGTTTCGTCTTCGTGGAATTCTCGATATTCTCGGGCTTGGTTCTATCCCACTGTCTCTACCTCCGCTATCGCGACGATGTTTCCTCCACATTCGTTCTCGGTGACTGCCATCAGCATTTTCGATCGTAACTAAGCGGCTGGTAGTTGTTGATTGGACCTAACAATAATAATGTTTGATCGATATTAAATTAAATATTTATTGTACTCATAAACAAAATTAATAATTTTTATTAAGATACTGTTTTTCTATTAAAAAAAATGTTTAAATACTATATAATAAGCATTAATGTATGTTTAAAAGTATAAATTAATAATGCTATAAAACATTTAGGATTAAAATAAAGATTAACAGGTGTAAGTTTTTTAGTTACTTGAGGCAAAGAGTCGATTCTTGAAGTTCTAGATACACCCAAAGCTGTGTTAGGAGTCTCTTCCTCACTAGTGCTTGGCAAAACTCGCATTACACCAATTTCATTATCTTCTTCGTGCTCTGTCTCATGTTCCATATCCTCCCCGAGAGCTTCCCTGATTTCTTTGTCGACTTCGTCTTCATCCCATTCTGGGCTGTCTAATACCGCGATTATTGCACTTTGATGAAGTGAACGCTCTTCAGAACTTTCAAACGGGTGTCTCTTCGTCGATGACTTTGAAGAAGACTTTCCTGTTCTCAGATTCCTTCCCGTAGATGGTCTCGAATGTCTCGTTTTCGCCGATCTCGAAAGCTTTGGAGAACTCGAAGAACTATCGTCGATATTGTAGCGAAAATCTTTATCTTCTGAAATTTTTGTTCGTTAGACAAATTTTTTTTTATATATATATATATATATATAATTGAAAGTATCGCTACAAACACTATTTGTAATGAGACAATTATAAGTTACAAATATGTAATATTTTAAGTGCTAATCAGAAATTTAAATCGAAATATCTGCGTTATTATATATTAATTGTGTTTTTATAATTTTTTGAATATTTAAATATTTAATATATTTCGGCAATTTACCTGCTTTAGTTTCTAATCGTTCTCCGTCGTCTCTTTCAATATGTTCCGACTTTTTGTCACGTGGCGAACCCGTCCTTTCTGGAGAAAAACTTTCTTCCACGTTCAGCGTTGACACTCTCGATTCTGTTGATGATAAATCTGCGGATTTTCCACGCGCGGAATCATCTAAATTTTCTTTATCGTCGTCTGTCGATCGTTCGGTAAGTGTTAATGTTTTCTGTGTTTCATCCGTCTCCATTTTTTGCAAAGATTTGATATCGTCGTGTTTATCTTTATCCTCTTTTGATTCAGCATCTTTGACTTCCTCACAAATCGCTTGTACATCTTCGACATTTTCTTTCAAATTGCTTACAGTTTGATGCGCATCGGATTGTTTTAAAATCTTCGATTCTTTATCGTCTAATAAAGTTTTTTTCGTGACAATTTTTCCATCTTGCTGCGAATCTTCAGAAATTAATAATTTTCCATTTTCCTCATCCGGATCCGTGATATGCTTTACTGCAACCGTAAAATTTCTTTGATCCTTCGAAATTGCAGTATTTTTATACTTATTTCATTTCCGTTTTTAAAACTGTCTTTCTTTTTATCGAATAAATCTTTAGTAAAATTGGAAAATATTTAAATTGAAAATATTTAAATTTGATAACTTATCAAATGTCTCACCTTCGATTACTTCTTGCTTTTCGTGCAATGTGTCATTCGCTATTACACTCTCGAATGTATCTAACCTACCTAAAAGGAAGATTACTATAGCCAGTGTTTAACAAATACATTTAATGTATTTAAATTCAATGTGTGATCAATAACTAAAAGATTATTACTATAATACTTTAGTTTATTATTACTATAATACTTTAGTTTTTCTTATACAGCACAGACCTCCAAGGAATATGTTAAAGAACGTCTATAGGACGTCCTTTAACATCCTAAGGATGTTCCTTGGATAAAATGTGCTGTGTGGACTTGCAACAAAAATTATTACACTTAAATTCTTACTTTGCGTCTGATTAATTATATTTGCATCTTCGCTGCTGATAGGCATCGTTATTTTATCCTCGTCATCCTGAACTTCTTTATTAATTTGCAAACTTTCTTGCGTTACTTGCTGTAATTTTTCCTCTGAAATATCGTGCATATTAGTCTTGT